ATATATATTGCTCTCAAGTAATGTCTGGCTCACTACTGCTTGTTAACTAACAAAGAGTGAGCAATTTAGAGGTAGAAAGGGAAATTAGTAATGCTGCACTCTTTGCCTAGATTGCCACTGCCGCTTGCAATTTTGAGTATCTCGGGTTGAGAAAAGTTGAGTAAAGGTTCACTCGTTCCACTTTCAAAGGCATTGATGATGTTTAATTGTGTGTACAGTGTCCTGGAAAAAATAAATATAGCTTAAGCACTGGATTACGTTTCTACTGCAGGACTGAATGTAGAAATAAAACCTTAAAGCAGAATGAGCTGTTAATATTTGAAATAGTGCCAAACGCTTGGACTATGAACATGCATGTTACAGCTCACAGACACTGACCACCACTGTGGAAATAAAAAATGCAGCTTCTCCAAATAGCTATTCTCACCCCTCTTCCAAGCCACAGGATTCATTTCCCTCTCTCTCTCTCCCCTCAACTCTGAGCTCTCAGGAAGGGTCCACCTCTTCCACAGTCACTGTCAGGGAAGGCTTACCACAATTAACATACTCAGCCTAAGACTTTCTGCTAGAAATTGTCCACTTAAACTGATTTTTTAATGCCTAGGTTTATGATACAAGAACAAAGACAAATAAATAGCAGTAATAGCAAAATGAGTGTTACACACACAATTTATACTATTCAATTTTCTCTAGTACTTCAATTGTTCATAACTTGATATTACCTTAAAATTATATTGCAGCGTAAATATTTTTCCCTATATCTACTGTTAAATATAAGTAGATCATAAGTTAAAGAGTTTATTATCGAGGCAACTAGTGACGCGTTTGGGTTGGGTTTTTTTGTGGGCTTTAAAAAATCTTTTTACCAACCTGCCACCAATTTGGATCTTCCCGGTTTACAATCTGAAGAATTTCTCCTTTAGAAAATTTCAAGCCTGCTTCTTTGCATGGGATGAGGTTGTCGTTATATGGATTATAATCAAAATGACACTTCACAAAAACCTGAAATGTGTAAAAATTTACAAAGCTTAAACGTTATAAAGTACATTCTTACTAATTTATCTGTCAAACTGAAGTGATGTTTTTACCTACAGCACAAGACGTCTGACATGATCAAAGTTGCATTTGGCAAGTAAAACACAATCTATGGGAAAAACCTAGCGTATACCAGCTGAGAGAGTACAACAATCAGCAGTGCAAACCTTGGCTTAAGGAGATTCATGATAAAAATAAAAAAAACAACTGTTCTATTTGGACGATGTATTATGAAACTCATTTTTGCCTTTCAGTATATACAACTCAATTCTCATTCTGACTTTAAAGTACTTAAAAAGATTAAAAAATCTCAGAATGAGAGCACTGTATTCAAGGCTTGTGGAATCTTCAGAATTAATTTTGCCATCAACTCAGTGTTTGAAAAGAAACATGGTATGTGACTGCAACAGAAACAGTAAGTTCCTGCTAGCATTAAATACAGGAAATAATAAAAATCTTAAAGTAATCTAATGCGATAAAGTACCAAGCAGAAGTTCTTTTGACAGAATTGGTAGCAATGTTCTACTGACCTGTTGAGGAATAACAGCGTCTCTGTAGCTGGGGAGGATCTTCAGAGTGACACTGCCACTAATATTTTTCAGCAGTTCCTGCAATTCTTTCGGATTATTTCCGACCTCGTGGCCGTTCACCTCTTTAATAATGTCACCTACGTGCAGAAGACCTTGTCGATCTATCATTCCACCATGAAGAATCCGTGCTATTACCAGATCATTGTTCTCAACTCTGAAGGTAACACCCTGAAAGAGGTATGCGCCACCGAGTTTACCACTGTTTGAATTTCAATTTCATTTTACCATTATCTCAAGCAAAAATATACAGCAATGGGATATTCTGTCTACCCCAGTGAAAAGAGACAGTAATAGTGACTACAGTGTAAGAGTTCCTAATACACAGATAAGCGTCAGGTGACACAAAACAGCTTTCAGACAAGGTTTTTATAACTGAACAATGACTGTATTGTTCTTCATTGCATGCAATCCTGTCGTTCTGTATCAGGACCAAACAGATGTTGTGTTAGTCAATTATGCTAGCAAGTCACTCACCCTTGTGACTGCCTATTCACTATCCCATAATCTCTTTCAGAGAACAGCATGGAGAACACAATCTTCATTATGTCATCTTCTTATGACAACTGATCGTATCACCCATTAAATTACACAACATAATAGTGGAAATAATTAAAAAATAATGCAAGAAATCAGGCACACACAAATGTTTTCATTCGCACTTTGAAGACAGACTCATCCTCAATTACCAGTGGTTCTCCTGCTCTTTTGTGAATTCCAAGGATACGAATAGCATCTACTGGAACAATCTGGTTGTTCACTGAAGCATTATTGACCTCTGGGCTAGAAGGAGGGGAATCGTAACATTTTGAAGCCACAATATCATGTGCTTCCAAGAGTGACTGCAAAGGAACAGAAAAAGTCTTTGTAAAAATCTTGAAATAGCCATTTGCAAGAGCATTTAGAGCTGAATAACCACGGAATCTGCCTTTTTGGGACCAGATCACAAAACTCTTACGTTATATGGAACAGAGCAAAAATTGACATGCAAGTACTCACATGAACTGATAAGCCTACTGTTTTGGCAAATATGCTCTCTTTTGTAAATACAAATGCTTATTCCTAAGAAAGTATAGGAGAAATGTAATCAATCTGGGAGGAATACATGATTTCGCAGGGAAGAAGATGGAAAAAGGAGTGCCTAAAATAGTCTTTCACCTTTTGAGCCATTATCCAAGCAAATGGCTAAAGTAAAGGAACAACCCACTGAAAAAACCTCATCATTAGGTACTTGTGTTTAATGTAATAAAATTTTCCTCCACAGTAATTTGGATAATTACAGGTACACAAGGATTTCTAGCAATCTGCAGAATGAGTGGTTTCTGCTTGCATAAAGCCAAGGCAGAATTCTACCACCAAATGAATCGAAGCTGACAAAATTCACTTTCTGAAAGACAAGAGCTCAGACCTTATAGGTAATGGTGTTTTCACCAGTCCACACACATAAACACAAAGCAAAAGGAGGAGATCCAAATAAATATAATAATCTTTGGAAGACAATGCAATTTAGACTTAATTTCCTTATAAAGATACTTTAAGATTTACAGAAAAGATAACACAATACATAAAGGTAAAACAGGATCAATCTTCTGAAATTAGGCAGTGGAGACCTTCTGTCTTAAAGCAGAAAAGGGACACCCTATGGCACCATATATGGTAGTTCAAGATAAAGCATCCTCTAGCACAGAGTCTCACTAACAGATACTGAAAGAGAAAAAAAAGCAAGTAGAGGAGATACCTACTAGGCCTCAAACAACATCGCTTTGTTTCAAACAGTGACCTGATGAGACAGGGTCTCAAGTCAGATCACTGGTGTCAAATAAGTAGCTAAAAAGAGAAGACACCACAGGGACTGCCACTGAGAGTGACAAGCAGATGCCAGAGGAAGACAGCTGTCTACTAGAAAGCAGAGCAGGTGAGCAGGCAACATTTATTTGCTGTGCAGTCTGCTCCATCCTTCTGTAAGCCACTTCTAACCTAAAAGTTGTGCAACTGTATTAGTTCAGTGTGAAGCTCAACAAGCAAGATCTCAAGCTGTCCCAGAGCTGAACGGTCATTTTAATCTGCCCACTACACGAC